AATACATACTACGTTTGTACTTCATCTTGTGTACACTGTATGCACCGTTTTACTGGTGGAGTCAGGTTGGCGTTGTGCTGCTTTCCTCACCTTCTACCTCTGGGGGCCTGGGTTCGAATCCGGCTCGGTCCACATGTGGATTGGGTTTTTAGTCCCTACCTGAGTCCGTGGGTTTCCCCCCGAAGCATTTATCCGAGGTTTTCCTCCCATTCCTTAGAACTGAACATCTCTCCACTGTCTTCTTCACTCATTATCATCCGGTCATTGGCGTTAAATGCACCGTTTGATGATGAGACGTAAATTTTAGAAAAAGTTAATACACTTGATCTCATCTCACACACTCAAGGCTAAGCTCTCTACCTTTTTAAATACTACGGAAATCCTTTCATAACTTGCTGATGAATGTTGAAGGACTGATTACCCCAAGTGTGCAGAAATTACATTTGCATGTTTACAAAGACTCTTGCTAAGTTGTTTTCCTTCACTAGAGACACTTATTACTTTTTCTTCTTATTTGTTATTTCTTTTTTTTTTAAACCAAACCTAAACTGTGCTCAAACATGGGATTTTGTGAATGCCATTTCTGTATGCATGTACATCCTGGCTAACCAAACCTAATACTGTACTAGAGCCAACCAAATCAAAGCAGATCTAAGCAACATACGAGTACCCTCTTCAAACAAGAAGAAGAGAAAAAAAATGGCAGAAACTCCTTATGTACAAACCAACTGAAATTACAGTTTTTGTTTATCAAACATTTTACTGTTCATGTGCCGCAAAGACCAGTTTTGATGAACTCACCCCCCTGGATTTTTACGGGTAATTGCTTGAAGTCTCGAGTATCTCAAACCAGCACAACTATAGAAAGAGCCGGACCCATGCAAACACTCCCACATCTCCGATTGCAATCAGCGCCAGTGCCACCGTATTAACAAGTCCCACATGGCAATGCAATCATGCTGGCTACGGACATTGCCCACTAATAGCCAGACAGGTAATACGCCGAAAGACGGTATCGTAATGCAATATGCTGTTCGGCCCGCTGTATACATCTATAAGTATTCTAGCAGATGAGCGTTTTCTAGTTACGGTCTTTAATTGGAGCATGATCCCTTGAGTTCTTTGTACACGTGCATATACATGCATGAGTATTATACGGCAGTGCATCCATGCGTACAATAAGTGTGATTGCTAGTGGCTCATAATCAATGAATACCTGTACATGTGCTATGAGAGCATTGTTACATGTATCCATGTTTTAGGTCTATTTACACTACAACCTCTCAACCCGCGGTGAACTCAACCCCAGGCAAACTCATGACCGCCCCTACAGGTTGGAAATTTGATTTTTCAGCCCCGTGGCACGTTCAACCCGGCGCTGTTTCATACTTGTTTCTTGCAAACCCGAGCATATCAGGGTGAATTTGACCCGGATGGTCCCGAACGATTTTTAACTCGGATTGAAAAATCTCAAACCTGGTCCGGGAGCAGGGTTGAGTTCAATCTGGGTTGAAATCAATCTCAGGGTTGATGCAGGGCTGCCATGGGGTTGACAATTTTCAAGTGTGAATTTTCACCAGTTTTCAACCCTGCATCAAACCTGCGTTAACGCTACCTCAACCCTGAGATTCATCTTGAGAATTTTCAACCTGGGTTCAATATTGCTTGTGCTCATTTCCGGGTTGAACTTGCCCAGATAACTTTGCACGAAACAATTGAGAAGCAACACCGGTTTGAAAGTGGACTTGGGCTTGAAAAATCAACCTTTCAACCCAGGGTGGTCATGGGTTCCCCAGGGTTGAGTTCAACCCGGGTTGAGAGGCGGTTGTGTGAAAAGGCCTGTCATCTAGTATGAAAGGTGCAATAACAAGATGAAAACTGCTAAGTTCCAATATTTGTTATAATGCACAACCTTAACATAAGGCTTTCCCACAAGAGATACAACATTCACCAACTGGTAAATTGAAATAAGGTGAAAATTGCTGTATTGCGAGCATTACATTTTAAATGAATTTGAAACAAGAACAATGAAGGCATGAAAAGACGGGCATTCGTGTCATTTTCATGCTGAACTTGTCCGAGAAAATTATGCACTGTTCTGCCTACAAAACTATACCTTCCTTTGTGTTCTGTACATGTACATGTACTAGTGTGTAGCTTGCCCGTGCAGTGTGCACATAATACATGCACATGTACCAGTACAGTATATGTACATGTAGCCATTGTTTGGCATGCACAAGGGCTTATCCATTACTCAACATCCGGTGAGGGTTCCCCTCATTTTCTCTTTTTTTTCTCAAAATGACACAATCTACAGTCGGAATTCCTTTTTTGGCATGAACAGTAAAAAAAAGCCCTTTTAAGCTTGTTACAGTTGAGCTCTGAAGACAAGTGACACTGCATTCAATTTGGATGCATCCATATTTATTTGAACAGATAAAATCAGAGAACAAATGTTTTCCTTAGAGGTGCTCTTAAAGCGATTACTTTGGAGAGTCTGGGTCGTTTTTCACAAAGTCCCCCCCCCGATGTGGCTTTATAACAGCTTCAGCCAACAAGTTTTCACTTTGCCAAATTCTGCAGCATTCTGATATTGCCCCTTAAAAGAAGAAAAAAAAATGCCCATTCCCGACTACGCTCATGAGGGTAATGCCTCAAAACAGGTGCACCATTCATACCTGTTCCTAATTTGAACTTTTCAAGCCAACAGTTTCCTTGTTTTTTTTTTAGCCTTTCATCTGCTTCTGAGAAAAGAATATAATTAGTTCAATTTCCGATTTGAAGAATTCTCTCATGACTAATGTGTAGGTATATGCACATGTAAGCTGCATGCATAAACCTGTATGGTACGCGGGCAGTGTAATGTACATGTAGCTTGCTTCCCTTGTTTCTTACTTTTGATGATTTAATTTGTCATTCGCCCCCTTCTTTGGTAAAGCCCACAACTTACAAGTAAAGGTGATTGCACTGTTTCGCCATTTATGATTAAAACCAGACATCCATCCACCACACTATAAGCTGCCTTGTCACTTGCAAGGTCAAAAAACATATTAATTTTTATACCTGGTCACGATCGCCTGAACAACCTGATCTGTATGCAGACCTCATTAAAGTGTAGTTGTGATCATTGACGGAATTCATTTTGAGGTATGTTTGCCACTATATCACCTTTCCAGTACATTAGCTGGCAGAGCAGATAGGAAATGGTCACATTTGGGTTGATTGAGGTTTCCTTAATGCTGTTGAGAATTTCCTTACAAGCAAAATAGCTGAGAGGTCTACCTCTAAGCGTGTTGCTTTGCAGAGATTTTATTGAGAAAAGAAAAATGATTGATTTGAGTGAATATTTGATTTCACTGATTTATTTGAATTCAAATTATGGGGGGGAGGGCTAGGGTCTGTTACTATCTTTAGAACGAAGCTATGGACAAATGGGAAGAACTGCCAGCATACATGTAATATCATGATAAATATGTGTGTGGTTTTGTAACCATCTTATCCCATCTTAAGGATGGGATGCATTATTGTACTTCTATTCTACATGGGTAATTCCAGAAATTAGGGATCCAATTTTTTTGTGCGTGTCCCTGTCACATCTGAGACATGATTTTGTGAAAGTTCAGAACACATTTCTTAATTTCCACGAGTGATGAATTAATGCAAATTACCTGCCAAACAAATTGTACTAGGTTGAAATCCATGCCGGTGATATTTCCATGTCAAATGACAAAGGTCAGATGTACATGTACGGTAACAGGGACGGGAAAATGTCCCACTTTTGGACCCCCTAATTTCTGGAATTACTCACATGTACCGGTAACAAAAGGATCCTGCGTTCACTGCTGCATCAAGGAAATCCACATGGGGATTTTCTCCTGTCTTTTCCGATACACATTGACAGTTGTACCACAAAGTGACGTACCCTTTGCACACACGATACTCATGCGTCAGTTTCTGGCACCACTATCCATAGTATATGTACATGTACGTCATTTCTTGATGCAACGGACAAATATATTCATAACTACCTGTACTAAAATAGTACATTGTATTTGCCTTAGGGAAAATGGTATATGACTATTGCCATATATAGAAAAAATGGCTTACCAGGGAAAGTGCCCATCCATAACAACCTTTTTGTTAAATGTCAACAGCCTCTATATTTGAACAAATTCCACTCTATATTTTAACAGATTCCACTCTATATTTTAACAGATTCCATACTGAACACTTTGAGTTTTTGACTGTCTTTAAACGTGACTCTTTAGTGGTATAAACTTGTAAGCCAACCTGTTGCTTTGTGCAGACGTACATGTACATTTGCATGTACATGTACAGTACATTACATTTACCGGTACATGTTTCCCAAAAGGTCCGTATCTGGCCTACCAAAGAGAGCGCTTTGAATCAACAAAATGAAGGAATTCACTGACTGATCACAGCATCCCATACATGCACAGTGACTAGAAGAGGGTGTTGATTGGTTTGTGAAAAGGTTGGATGAGGTACGATGATTTGGAGTCGTGATCGATTGCTACATAATGGAATTACTCAGTATCAGCCCTTTGCCACAGTGTGATGCGTACTTCGCCTGTTTGGAGCTCTCTAGCGGCAGGAGAGTTTTATTAACTCCAGTGTGTACAAGTGCATTTCGCTTAATAGTGGTGTGCAGATCAGTGGCATATGCTTTCCTTCAACTTCTTGCCTTTTTTTAAAAAGTGGGGTTTTGTTTATTTAGGAATGAAACGTGCTAGTATTTCATAAATTGGACACTTTTCCTTTTTGTTGAGTTGGGGGTTGAGGATTCTTTTACAGGTGACAAAATGTCGACGGTTGTTTTCAGAAAAAAAAAGTATCCCATTCCCCCCCCCCCAACCAGGATCCTCCACTGGTGCAGATGTATTTTTCAAAATTGCTTGCTTGATTGATTGACTGGCTGACACAAGCTTTAAAACGCAAGCAGAATATGCTGAACTGTTTTGTCTTTGCCTGTGTTCCAGTTTGCCCGCCCACGTGTTTGTCCGCCTGCAATGGAATGAGGTGCTGTCACGACTCGTGTGTCGGGGGATGCAGCGGTCCCACCAACCGGGACTGCATAGCCTGCCGCAAGCTGGCCTACAACGGAGAGTGTATCAACACCTGCCCTGCATATACATACGAGGTAAAGGATCCTGCAGACACTATGATACATGTACCTTGAAAAACTACCGTCTGGTGTGGGGAGAAGCAGGATCTCCTCGGCCCTCTTTACACAATTTTACATTCATTGCATTCAACTGTTTCCCTCACACTTTACTCTTGGAAGCCCCGTCTGCTTTCAAGTTGACACTCACACGACTTCTCGCATTTACTCTGGCCCAACCCAAGTAAACGACCTGCTGGACTGGGTACTTGGTCACCTGGTCAATTCCCATAGCGCAATACAAAACTATGGCAGCATAGTCAAACGGTGCAAAGGAAAGTGATTGACACAGTTGTAACTAGTTCGAAAAAAGCCCAAAAGACCGTTTGTGTGGTTTTTTTCCTTGTCTATTGCTCTCAACCTTTTGAATTCATTTTGCAAATTTAATTGATGTATGGCCTCTTGACCAGGTCAGGGGGCTTGGAATTCAATCCAAAACTGTCAATTTATCACTCTTGCGGGTGCCAGTCTAAACCAATGACGACAACAGGGGTAGGCGCAAGGGAAGTAATTGAATGCACAGATCATATTCGGGGTTATTCCAGCTTCTGCCACCTCTGCTACAATCTGTTTTTCCTGTTACCCTAACAGTCCCCAGTCCTTCACCTGTTGGATGATTGAGGACTGTCAGGGTTAAACAACTTCAATTTATACAAGTTGATGAACATGACTATCGTCGATCATCATGTGAACATGTATGTGTATGTAACCTTGTCACATTGGGTGACATGTAAGCCCACAATTTTATATCGGTCTTTATTAAACGCAGAGCGCACGTGTACGCGGTACCGATACCCTTTCATCATATTCAGGGAACAGTTTTTCTTCCAGCAAAGTCAAGACCAAATTGTTTGATTGTCCCAATAACGTTTTTGGTCCCCTTTATCAACACGTGTGTACTCCCCACAACTACGTGTGTGGGTAAACCTTCATCGCGTTAAGGGGACGGTTTCGTTTGTTAGGCAAACTAGGACTGAGTTGAAGGGACATGTGTCTGTCCCCATAACATCTGCGGTCCCCACGAAGTACCGAGTCAGTGAAATATCGTATGTTTGTCCCTGCAACTATGGTACATGTAGTTGAGTCACAGTGGCCATATTGAAGTAAATGTTGCTCTGTGCAGGGCCACAGAGCTCTGCAAAAATGAAGCTGCAGGGAGAAGTACCTAACTCCTATACAAACACCTGTACATGTACACGTACACCTGTAACTCCCGCGAGTGAGCATTTATGATGGCCTACTTGGCTATGGAAAGTGGCTCTGGGATCTCATCATTTCAAAACAACGTCAAGATAGTTGGCCTAGAAATACATTCTGGTAATGCTGAGCCCAGAGCCCATTCCAAATAGTACAGTCAGCAAGTGGTCCAGAAAGATTTATTTGAGGTGCTACTTAATAGCTTAGTGTTATTACAAATAATGAATGTTCTGTTGTCCAGTGGTAGAAGCAATTTCATGAAGTGACGGATGTTCTCTTTCACGAGGCAGTGCCGAGTGGAAAGGAACATGCAGTCCTTCATTTAGTCCAAGAAATACTCTCTCTGTTGTGTTGTACATGTACAGTGTACAACACCCGGATAAATCCCCTTTGTGTGCATGTCGTTAGGTTACTTTGCCTGCTTGGCATAAAAGCACGAATGTGAGGAGCCGTGACTGTGCCTACATTATATTTAATGGGCACCTTAAACGGTCGTACTGTTGAATATACCAGATGCCGGTGAGTCAGGTGAAATGTGTTGTATGAAATGGGAAGGTGGTCAGAGAGTGTCGGGGTACTCTACCGGTACATAGCGAGTGTTGCACAAACCGTAACCACATTGTTGTGATTTTGAACTGTTCCGTCCGTCCAGTACAAAACCCACCGATGCATCCACGCAGCCCAGTGCCCACAGCACTGGAAACTACACAATGGTCAGTGCATCGAGGAATGCCCCACCAGCTTCATCACCAACATCACCAATGCACGCTACTGTCAACCGTGTGACGGCCCCTGCCCGAAAGGTATGGAGGAGGGACGTGTGTGTCTGTGGTCAGGTTGGGGGGGGGACTTGCCACTGAAGGAGGCGCATGTATAGTGCCCATTGGTTCGTTTCAGATGTCCTTACATTGCTACCCGCTGTTGCGATTTGCTGTCCTTATATGCCAGGGTACATGTAAGTAGGCGATTTCGAGCACCAACCATTTGCCAACTACCAGTAATTGTGCCTGGGACCCAGGATATCTTTTGTGTACCAGGGAAAGTTGACCGGTAGTTGACAAATGGTCCTTGCTCGAACGTGCATCGATTTCTTAAAGCCTTATACAGTATCCGTTGTTGACCTACCGGTGTGTGCTATTGAGACAATATTCTGAAGCCATTAGCATGAAATGACAAAGGTTTGCTGATGTACATGACTGAATCAAGCTCAAAGGCCAACGCATGGGTGGCGTTAACCAAAACTGGCTCCAGAAAAAAATCAATTCTGCATGTACAAGACTGAAAGCGGCTTGAATGAGAACTTCCCATCCAGTTTGTTAATGACTGCATCGTCTGCGCACGTGCTCCGTGGATGACGTGCGTCCATTAGCGAATAACGCCGCTTATGGGTCCAATGGATCCATTACTGCGCCACGTTGAAGTTGGTGGCGTTCAAGTTGCAACAAGGTCACATTAGCCCTCACACCCTAGGGTGTGTATAAAGATCATCTTGACATTGGAGGATTGATGACTGCTAGGGCCAACGATCCGGACACTCACCCGGTAGTGTTTGGGGTACTTCTTCCTACTTTCTGGTCCTATTTCTCAAGGTCCTGAATAGTTAGTGCTGACCCCAAATCTTGCGCTTGTGCCTCAAACTGTGCTTTGCATTCCGGTTTGATTTTGAACACAGTGGTTGTGAGAATAGAATGTGTACATTTACTGCTCCCAAAGTCCCATAAACTGACAACAAGCACTTACCACTGAGGACAATATGCTGACTACCGGGGACACGGACACATTCTACACAATGTAAATGTATGTTCCCTTGGTGTGCTGTACTCCTTGGTACAATAAAAGTTTGTACAAAATATTTTGGAAAGTGTGTACATCCATGTTGATGCCTCATTGTAACACCGTCGTTTACATATGAACTATAGAGAGCTATAGTATCTCACATGTACATGTATGTGCCGTGCTGCTCCCATCGCTGTTAAGCATGTTAAGGAGGTTATGAATTTGTTGGAATTCATTTTTCAGATTTTTTTTTGAGTAATCGTATTCCTTCTTCTGACTGTTTGCTAAGTTTTTTCCTTTTTGTTTTGTCATGGTATTTTGATTATCCTATTAGTTTGTGAAGGCCGCATGGTAGTCAACTCTGTCGGGGATGCAGCCAACTTGGCTGGCTGTACCATCATCAACGGATCCTTGGAAATCGGCATCCGGAGTGGAAGTAAGTAGCCTCGCTTTCCAGGGCAGGATTTGAGATTTGTTCAGATTTTTCTGCATATCTAAAGTTTTTGTTATAAGTCTCAGGATAGATGCATTTTTCTATTTGGTAAATGGCTTTCCCGACACTTGTATTATTTTCAAAATTTTGACAGAAAGTTGAATGGCATCAAACTGTGTCTCATATAAAAACAAAGGGCTGTGAATTAATCTATCAAAATTGAGATGATTTGTGGCATTTCTGAGCCCCAACGCTCTGAGTTCACTCCAAACCCAACAGGAGGTTGGTCAAGATTTTACTGGATTGGGGCCTCATGCCACCTCTGAAGTTGCTTGTTGTCAGTATCACCGTGACGAAGGTTGGGACAGGATAATATTAATAATTAATAATTGATTCATTTATAAAGCGCAAATTCCATATAGATATGTTCAAATGTGCCGTAAAATGAAGACATTAAGCATGGAACAATGAATACATTTAAACATGGTTGAGCCGATGGCATACAAGGATGTTCCTAAATGGCTGTGTGTATGAGTTTGTTTCTGCATTCAATTGGGGACCCTGAACAATAGAGGACAATAAGGTCCCCAATTGACAGAGGGTCTGGGATTGACAACTGTGTACAAAATATATTGGTGGTCTTCTAAAAAAAAATAAAGTACAAACAAAAGAGGAACAATAGGGGGTCCCCAGTTGCAGGCAAATACACACTTGTGTGTGTGTGTACATAAAATGCCTTTCTGTCGGTGACCACACGAGGTTGCCAACAACAAATTGTCGTGTTTGGTGATCTCCGTTGGCAGTGCATTGGCTAGCAATCAGCTAGCACTACATGTTGAAGAAATTGTGATCCCAAAACTGGATGATATTGTGCAATAGCAGAGTAGCGTCTGGCTTTTGGGCTAGTCCAACAGATTGATCCAAACTAGCTGACAGTGTTAATTTAGAACGTCTGTGTGATCTCTCCATCTTCTGCTGACAGGCACCCATTTGATGTTTTTTTTCCAGCACGATTCCAGCTTTGAGAAGTATTCAAAGTCCCACAATGTGGCATCCAGATTGACAGACTGGGCATAAACAAACAGACTTGCCCGGCATGATCAGGTCTCATTCCAGCAAAGCCGCCTAGGTTTTTTTTTTTCTGGTTTTGTTTTGTTGTGAAAGTTCTGGCATTCCAGCCCCAAAAGTACAGCCACAATTAGCTGACCCCCCCCCCCCCGGAGGAGGTATCCAGTCCAGCCTAGGGACCCCTACATCAGCCAGCCCTCCCAAGAGGTGTCATTCACCCACGGGCCCAGGTTCTCCCAAGTTCCATGACTCACCTTGGCTGCTTCATCCAGAGGGGGTATAAAACCTTGGGCGGAGGGGAGGGGAGGAAAACTCCCATCACCAAAGGAGGGGTGAACTCATGGAAGGGGGTAGACCTTCAAAGGGTCCACTGGCCTTTATTGGCAGCTTCAGTGGGAGACTGATTAGATAACAGGTTGCTTTGGTTTCTGTGCAGCTTCAAAAAGTGAGGGGCTTGCATCCTTCTTTTCAGAGCTGTAATGCATCATTTTGAAGAGAATTTGAAGCAACGGGGGCAAAGTACCTTTACATGAGCATTGAGCGAAAACATGAAAGGATGCATCCATGCTGAGATTTTTTTTCTTAGACATACATTTTGTGCATCTGTATATACCGGTACTCATTTTCAGGCTGTGAACTGTTTGAAGAGTTGATTTGTCAATGCCGTTCTGGACTACCGAGGGCGCTGTTACTGTGATGTCATTCAGGGAAGACATTATCCTTTTCTCTGGTCAAATTGTGAACCCAAACTTTGCTCATTGATGAAGACATCTTTTGAGAAAAAGTTTCTCTTTGGCTTATTGCTGTTTACTTTCATGATAAATCTTCAATGACAAAGGAAATTAAGGGTATCAAAATATCAGGGTTGTACCTGGGGAAACCAATTACTTTGTAACAATTTGGATAGATATCACAACCTTCTGTGGGCCTCGTTAAAGAATTGACAGTAGTCATTGGCCTTCCCGGAAACTGCATTGAAACTGCATGTGTTCGGGCAAGGAAAGATGGCTTCTCAATCATCAATTTCCGAGGGCTTGATAAAGAAACCAGGGCCCGACTGCCGGGTCCTACACCTCATTAGTGAAGAGGAAGAGATAAGGAAGAAAATTGGGGAGTTGGGCAGGCACGGCTTTAAGGTCTAAATCCATCCCCCAGACACCTCAAAGCAATTGAATTGTGGAGAGGCTCTCCCACTGAGGAGAGGGAATAATGCGGTCCTCTGCAGGGAGCTGGGCACCGGGGCAACATGTGGACTAATTTGTAAAATTTGTGGAGCAAGGTTCTAGGATAGCTGTGTGTGGTTGACTGGAATGTGCAAGTGTATCATTTTTTTATTTTTTTTATTTTCCCCCTCCTGTTTTGGCCAAGCCATGATGATGAGTGGTTTGTGGGTTCCGTGTGTGTACACAATTAGATCGTATCACAGTGACTTGAAAAAAGGACAGTTACAGCAGTTGTAGAAGAAAAATTAAAAAAAAAAAATGGGATCATCCCTGATCCCCCCCAAATAAATTTTTTCAAGTATGAAGACTTGAGTTTAAGGTCGTACATGCACCCAGTTGTAATTTTTAAGTCGTAAGACTTTCACACCCGTAACCACATCGGTCAGATTCTTATTCTAAGCAACCTTCAATCTGTGACTGAAGAGAAGGAGTCGTGCAGGAATGCTGGGGATGGTCTCTCCGGGAGGATTATTGAGGAATTAACATCGCTGTTGTCTGCAGTTATTCCCTCTCGAGGCGCAGGTTTTTGAACATGGTGACTTTGCGGCCGGAATTAATTTTACAGGACATGATCAACTCATGTTGAGTTAAACACAGGGAACAAAAATGCATCTATAATATGCCACCAAATCCTGACATCCATGGTTTTAGAGCAAACTTGTTTATTTTCATTGTAGTGGTGTTAGGCTATTGGAGGTATCAGCATATTTTGGGGCAGGAAATGAGGAACACAAGTCATACCTACACCTGTGCTGAGCAAAACATGGTATATCACATACTCAGTGTTGCAAAGAAAGTGACTTGAAGAAATGAGCAGTGGCTTTTGGCTTGACACGGGAGAAACAGTGACTTGTAACCGGGATCGAGAAAAAGGAAATTTGTGGAAAATTGTCTTGTGACAGAGGAAATTACGTGATCAAAAAATGATCATGATCAACCGATTGGCTTGGTTACAACACTTAAAACACTGAGCTTGATGCGGGATTGGGCAAAAGACATGTGAATGGACTCAGGTGCGCCTGAGTGCTGCATGTATAGTTGTAATACGCGTACTTGGACGTTTAGAGCTTACATGCACCCCGGTACGTGTGTGTTATCACCACAGAAATAATCCTTTACATCATGCTACATATATTTTCACATTTACATTTGGGAAGCATTGGCGTGTGTGTGTTTTTCCCATATACCGGTACATGTATGGAGAGCTGCAGTACACGTAGGCAGGTGCTCAGTCTCATTCTACATTCAAGACTAGGGAAGGAGACAATAGAAACCAGTCTAGCCAGGAAAGCTCTCACCTTTAATGCTGCAGTGCACATGATGGTTCTGCATGGACTCACTCCGTACAATAAGTATGGGCTCCTTGTAAATCAACAAAAGTGTAATATTTGTATTTTCACTTGGGGGGAATTTGCCCATGTCCACTTTTTCATATTTCATTGAACAGGGGTGTGAGAATTCAGCTTTCTTTGTTTAGATATTGCCCCTGTACATGTATTTCAGCTTTTTTGTACACCTGGTCTATACAAAAGTATGGACCTTTTTTTTGCATTTCAGCTTTTTGCTACTAGTACCCGATAGCTGTAATTTTTCAGCTTTAATTGTAAGTGGCTACCCACACCCCTGATTGAAAGCCCAAACACTTTGGCTTCATTTATGCGGTACATGTACTGTGGTTTGGAAGTTCACTTAGCCTTGGCATTGCTTCATTGTAAAATTCCGTTACAGTGGATGGGGCCTGGAGACACGATGCGTCTTGTCCAACTACATGTACAATGTACGCTAATGGCTTGCCTTGTCATTGTTTTCCCTTCTGCCCCAAAAAAGCCAACATCATGAAGGAGCTGGAGAAGAATCTGGGCATGATTGAGGAGGTGACGGAGAAGATCGTCATCAGGATGGCCCACTCCCTGGTCAGCCTCAACTTCCTGAAACACCTCAAGCGGATTGGTGGAACCGTTCTGGAGAATGGGTGAGCAGCCATTGAGCTGTGGTGACTCTAAATCAGGAAGGATTTGAATCATTTCGCATCTCGGTGTTTTAACGTTTGTACTCGAAACAAATTTGTGACTTGTAATAACTCAAGTCACTGACCCGACTCACGTCACAATATTTGTTGACTGGACTCGACTTGAGTCCCATCGGGTAAATGGCTCGACTCAACTCGAGTCGCTGCAAGCAAATGACTCAACTCAATGCGAGTCCCTCGTCAGAAGACCTGACTCGAGTGAAAGTTAATAAGACTGAAGTCCCAAACTTTTTTGCGGAAAAAGAAATAGCAATGACTTTCAGTGCTGGTTCATATGACCACATGTTGAAACCCAGAGTGACTTGACTTCCTGTTTTTATTTATCGTTTTGTATTCAAATATTGGTGGCTGGAATTGACTCAAGTTAAATACTTGACTCAGCTCGACTTTCTCCCCAATGACTCGACTACTCAAGCCACAAAAATTAGTGACTTGTTACAACTCTAATATGGGGGAGGGGGTAAGTAACTGGCTGCCCCTGAAGTTTTTCTTTGTTGGGGGGGGGAGTTTTGCAGTTGATTTTGGTCAATCTGTAATCTGAAACTGTTAAAATTAAGCCTACAGGCCATTGCCAACCTTTGATTTCATTAACAGTGCATATGTAAAAGGCACGTGTGAATACTTCAGTTTTGCAGTTTGGTCCATCACAGATCTTTCAACAAGTCCTTGCACAAGAGTCATTAGTCATAAGTAAAAGAGTGAACAAGAACAAAGGAATGCCTTTGTTACTGTTTACTGTTACTGTTTTTTTTAATCGCTTTTGACCTGCATTGAGACTGGGACTTGTGATGGACTTGTCTGCAACACTTGATTACACATGTACATGGGAAGAAGTTTAAACATTATGAGTTATCACACAAACACAAGTGGTACACAGAATAGTGTAGTGCGTCTGTGTCCCATATACAATGTGCATGTACCAAGAGGACGAATATACATGCAAAGATGGCACTACGTTCTGTGTTGCACGAGCATGATAACAAATTTATCTTGGAGCAAACTTGATGCACAGTAAAGATGTTATAAGGGCCGATGTGCGCTAACGCGCCACCTTTGAATTTACAGTGAATTTAGCAGTTGTGTATTGTGCTTTTAGTGTAAAAATAGCGCAGTGGCTTGACTTTATTAAGAACGCATAACGCGGGGTTTGACATGGACCGTGCAGCACAGATATGTATCACACTGTTGGTTGCCATAAATCAACCAGTCAGAATTGAAACTTCAAGTTTGCCTGAAGATAAGTACACATGTCATTTGTTGGTAAATGTCTGTGGTACATGCATTAGACATTCACTGTGTACATTTACACGGGGTTGCTGTTTTTGATATACAGTGCAGCCTGCGAGAACTTGAAGATCGAAAGAGCGTAACGTTGGCTATTGTGCTTACCTTGCCTGTGAACATTGTAGTATGATGCGAATTAGCCATAGATTCTCATCCTTAGTCTGTGTTCATTTGTGTCCTAATTTCTTTTCCTTTTTTATATTCCAGAGCTCTAAGCCTGAGTGATTTCTGGTTTAATGCAAACCTGCCAGCCATTCCAATTTAATCAGAACTGTTCTGATTTTCAAGTTTTGCAGACTGCAAACAAATGTGAACTCTCCCATCTCTGTAAAAAGGGAGAATGAATAGTTATAAGAGTCCTAACAAAAGAGGACGCTATTTGCAGAAAAAAGAGGGCACTATTTGATAGTCAAGCTGGCACTTGTTTCTCATACGTATACTGTACAAGTGTGTGCATGCACATGTACTATGCTGCAGCTCATTTTGCTATGGGCTCGTATAATGGGTGTTCCGATTTCTGACTCGGGGTGACCTCGAATGAACTTCAACTAGTAGCGTCATAACCTCTGTTGGTCAATAATAAGAACCTGATGCTGCTGTTTGAAGCGTGCCATGTCTAGGGAGGCATGCATTTCCGAATCTGGGTATTTCTCTTGGCAATTTCATGTACGCAAAAATGTGTAAATTGAACGCTGACCGTTACAAAATTAATCGCGTGACTGAAAATTCTCCATTCCATTTGGCACGAAGCCAGTGCCGTCCTGCAATATCTGGTCTTCCATTGAGAAGGAGGGAGGAGAAGCTTGTGCAGAGGAGAGAATAAGGGGCAGACAGTTTAAGAGGTGGGAGAAAAACTGCCGACAAACACTCTGAAGGAAAAACCCACAGAATCATTTAGCGACTGAATGCCCAAATTGACCCGCAGACTTAAATCGCAGAGGTGGACAGGCGGGTAAAGTGGAGCTTGCTGCGCCCAGCCGTCTTAACCGTCCTTGCCCTTTTCCAGGTTGTATTCTTTCTACCTGCTGGACAACCGCAACCTACAGCAGCTCTTTGACGTCCAGAACTACCCTAACATCACCATCAGCAACGGCTCCCTCTTCTTCCACAACAACCCCAAGCTCTGCGTCTCCAACATCACCACTTTTGAGTCCCGGGCCAACTTCCTGACCCAGCCCAAGAACAACAACTTTGGCACCAATGGAGACCAAGTAGCATGTGAGTGTGAATAAGTTGGGACTCTGTTTGTTCGAAATTTTCTTTTTTGGCTTCTTTTTTTCAGGAATTGAGCTTTTAATCATTTTTAGAGTAATTTAGTGTAGTCATTTTGACACAATTTTTGCAAAAAATCGAACGTACCATTCTTGCGCAGCGCACATATTTCCGAGGTGGGTCAGCCCAAAATGCATACTTTTTCCACTGCGGTGCTCAGTACATGTGTACAGGCACGCAGTTAGCCATGAATTTCAAACGACTAACAAATGACCATGACAAACTTCACATTTGTAATAAGGTGTTTCTGTACATGCATGGCAGATTTAAAAAAAGATTGGGCATGGCACAGCCATGTCCTTGGGGGGTGGAATCAGTCCCCCCCCCCACCACTGTGAGATGGGCCAAAATAACCTGGCTCTTTTAGGGTTCATGTATGAAAATATTAATTTGTTCATTCTTCTGGTTATTTCCAAAAGAGGGCTTCTTTAACACATTTATCTATGTCATCTTCAATGGGGGTAACTTCCAATCAGTGCACAGAACTGCTTTCTGTAGAGGTCCCCAGATTTACAACATAACTGGAAGGCGTAAAATGTTGCAGTTTTTCAGCGCAAACTTTGCTGAAAGTTTTTCATCTTTTTGAATGATTTATTTAAATTTAATTCATTTAGATAAATAAATTAAAAACAAATAGGAGGCGCAAATGCATCTTCAAGAATTGCGTGGAAAAACCAATTGACATTGTTGTGGGCCCTTTCAATTTTTCTTTGCTATTCCTCCTTTTCCTGTTCTGTTTTTCCGGGCATGCAGGCAGCATGCACAAGATACGCATCAGTGTCAAGCCAATGGCGAGCACACTGATGATCCGATGGGGTTTTGACGTCAGTAAAATCAGTGACAAGCGCAACTTGCTGGGGTTCATCGTTTCCTACCGAAAAGCGTAAGTTGCACTTCTGCCAGGTCTGGTAACTAACATCGTTCTGTGACAGTGTGTAAGATTTTCAAAAACAGCGGTGGCGCTGAGAGAGATTTTTTACAAATATTGAGCAAATGACCGCCCTGGGTCAGAATTTGTAATCTCCAACTTTTTAAGGAACCGTGATGGGGGGTATTTTGTCGTTTTAAAAAGTCAGCATTTTTGTCAGAAATAATGCTGTACCTTTGACAAGCCCATCGTCGAATATTACCGGTACCATCGCCAAGTGATCAGGAAAATTTAGGAATCAGGTTTCATTGTAAATTTTATTTTGTCATTTTTTCTGATTTTTTTTTGACAAGGCCTTTCAAGAACGTGACAATTTTTGATGGAGAGGATGCTTGTGGCACGAGCCAGTGGGAGACGATCTACGAGAATCCGGGGGAGCCTTTCACCTTACTGGTGGGGTTGGAACCCTGGACGCAGTACGCCATCTTTGTGCGGTCCTATATGATCGCCAACACTGGGGAGGGGGCCCAAAGTGACATCAAATACGTATCCACCAAAGAAAAAGGTAGGTGGACATCTGACCATGGCTAGTTGATAGGGCATACATGTAGTTTTCTCTAGCGAGACAAGGTCTACTGTAGTTCTTATATTTTAACCTATGAGGACAAAATGACAGTGGATGCACATTTGCCTGGGATTTTTAATCAGAGTCAGAGCAGCCTCAAAGCATACATATCTCCCAAAGACAAATGTTGGCACCAGACTGTTGCTAGCATTCTGTAATTGTCTCTATGGAGACAAGGGCTACTATATAACAGTCAACCTGTAAACCTTAGCAGGTCAAAATGACGGTGGATGTAAATTTGCCTGTTATTTTAATACCAAATTCAGGCACAGTCTTGAAACGAACATTTCAAGATGCAAGCGGCATGTAAAGTTCATTGAACATCAAGTACAAGTTCCTGTCTACATGTAATTGGTTACTTCACCATAGCAGTATTTTAAAGCACTCCCTCCCCACATAGTTGCTGGTTTCATTGGCGTAGTTTGGGATTGTCTGGGTGATTGCTTCATATTTGTTTTTATTTCAACTTCAAAATTGCCTCTGGGTAAAAAAAACCATTTATATTCTGACAAAGAAACAATCGCTGTAAGATTTTAGATCTTTTTTACCCTCTAGCATGCAACTATTCCTCCGATCAGCTGATCTTCCTTGTTCTTTACCTTCCCATGTATGGAAGCTGGAAAACACTCAGAATCTTGCAGTTTGGAATTTCCTGTGTTCCCCCCCCCGCCCCAAATACTCAACCACATGGTAGTTTATCTGACCCCATGTTCCCCCTCTGTTTCCAGAGCCAGGCCCACCCTCAGACCTTGTGGTGCTGGCCAACTCCTCCAACCAGCTGGTGGTGTCCTGGGGCCCGCCCAAAAAGCCCAACAGTCTCGTCGTGGAGTACCGGGTGCGTTGGCAGAAGCAGGAGTTGGCTGTCAGCCAGTTCAGCTCTCGCGACTTCTGCCGAGAAAGTAAGCAAGAGCCATTGAGACTGGGCCAGCTATCGTCCAAGATTTCTCAGTGCGAAATACCGGTTAATAGCAAATTGAAGTGCCAAGGGAAACATCAGCTGAGAACCAGTTGGGATATGTATGCAGTATTAGACAGGTTTTTTAGCTGGTAACCTGTCTTTACTGAGCAAGTATTTTCAATGGCAGGGCATTTCTCTGCTTAGCAGTTCTTTAGAATCAGACCCGAGCCTTCAAAATGCTCTCACTCCATTATGGATAATTGTACAGGGTACTCTCCAAGCTCTAAATGTTAAATTTAAATGGCAGCTGAACAAAAGTACTGAAAACCTGGGGGGGGTAGGGGGAGGAGAAATAGTCTCACAGTAGGGTTCAGGGCCCACTTAAAGAACTCCCTCCTCTTGAGCCGATGGACTAGTTGTCACTGGTGGCGGGAAATGGCCAGTGGTCCCTCCTCCTCCCTTCAATTTTTTGAAGGGCGGAATGGCCCCCACTTTTTGCAGGTCCTACAACGGGGTGGGCTTCATGGATCTGCCTGTTAGTGGCTGTTGCCCAATGGTTTCACAACTGCCCCCCTCCCCATTTTGGAAATCATTTTGCCGCCATTGCTAGGTGTCCAGGTTACTAAACGAAATTCAAACCTCATATGTGTAGTTTCATTGGTCTTGAATGGCCACATAGTGTCAGGTTTGTGGAAAAAACAAAATTACATCACCTGTCTCTCAGATATATAATAATAATAATTACACAGTACAACATTTGTAATGCGCTTTCCAAACGTTTCAAAGTGCCATTATTGTCCCTGCACATTGGGCTCACACATCTATGAACATTCCTGAAACCATCTCAGCTCCCTGGGGAGTATACTAGCCCAGTGCTGCCATTTCGGCACAAAACGGCTAAACAACCGTGTCTGCCCTCACAGGTGCCCATTTACTCCTGGGTGGAGAGAGGTACATAGGGGTAAAGTGACTTGCCCAGGATCACAACATGCTGCCACCAGCTGGATTCGAACCCCTGACCCTATGATCAGGAGCTACAGACCCTAAGCACTAGGCCATGTTGTTTTTGTCGCAATAATGCAGTGTTTCGGGTGTTGTAGGACACGGGGTTGATCATAGGCCTCTGTGCTGATGACGCCACACTCTGTTCATGTGGGTCCTTTCCTAGTGTGCTCAGTGGACCATGGGTCTCTCTGGTTGCATGGGAAAGTGCAAAAGGAAACAAAGGGGGCATCATCAGTACACAGGCCTGTCATGAAGAGACTTGAACTGGTTTGAAATTATAGGGCGACCATATGGAGTCGTTAACTGTTTTGTGGTGTTTCTGTTTTATGACAGAGCCACCCACGCTGGTGTCAGAGGTCATCGTCAAACCGGAAGAACAGGACACGGAGGGGAACCAGACCTGCCAGGAGGGCTGCTGCCCCTGCCCGAAAGACAAGGAAACCCTGAAACTGGAGGAGGAGGAGGCACTCTTCCAGAAGCAGTTTGAGAACTTCTTGCACAATCATGTCTTCATTCAAAGGTAAGGGTCGATCACATGACGTTACAAGATCACAGTTATTCATCTCCACCAATTTCAATACACTTTTGGACACCTCGGGGTGTTAGGGGTATGAGATAAAGCTAGAAAACTGCCTAAGACAGAAAATGTATGGAGTGCTAGCATCAGAAGTGATGTTGGTGTCGCGGGAAAGCTGTGTGACGCTCCCCGGAAAAGTATTCTTGCGAGCAAGACAAGAAGCAAAAGAACTTTTTTCGGAAAAATTCTGAAGAAAACTATTTTTGTGTCGAAGAGAGCTATATTAGAGTTCAGAAATGAAATTCACACCTTGCAAGTTAAGTCTGACATAGGAAGAACATGTCAAAGCCATGCAGGAACTATTTTTGTTGGAGTTAATTTTGTTTGTTGAAGAAAGATTGAATATTTAAAAAGATATAGTAGTACAAACCAACAGTACATGTGTACATTGCCAGGAGTCTTTAAATGCAAAATCAAAAGCAGAGTACAATCTACTACACCTGAAGATCAGCAAGACAACCAGAAAAAAAGCCACTCCTGTTCATTACGAGCAATCGGGCAATTTGTGGTAATCCCCCGGAAATAAAAAATCACACACCACTGTGTATCTCCGAGGCATTTTGCACAAAGCGGTCATAAGAATACCTGTCATAATGCATTGGATCCCAATAAGCTGTCTTTTTTCCTACCAGTGCACTTTCAACGATGCATCCAGTGACCTGTAAGCAGTCAGTATTTTTTCTGCCGTATTCTGTCCAGTTTTCAATACTGGAATTGCTCATGTTTCTATTATTGGAAGCTTCCCGCAGTCCCTGGCACGGAACACTGAGCGCCAACCTGTTCGCTCAACAAGAAAAACATGCTCCCATGTTTTAGAAAGCCCAAGACCAAATTATCAACCCGCCCCCCTAAAAAAAGTTGAAATGTGCGACCATCATAACATCATGGGCTTAACCCTCAGTTGAAAACTTTGCATTGATTGTACTAATGTATAATGTCGTGGTTGAGTCCAGTTCCAAGTCCAGCGAGTGCAAGGAAAGAGATAAACTTTTTTTTTGGAGGGCACAGTAGCGACGTTGCTGGTGCTTGAAACAGCATTTTGGACAACAAAGCGACTGCACTTTTGAGCTTGCAAAACTGCAGACAAGCATGCATCATGCGTTGGGGCGTGCTCACTTTTGCTCAATGATGCTTGCGCACTCCAGCCTTCCACAGTCCTTTGACTGCCATGTTGCCCGTCATGTGACTGCATGGACAGTCAACCGAGCACCCAGTTTGCCACATGTCTGTCGGAAATCAAGGACTTAATTAGCCTTACACATACTGTGAGTCCTCGCATCCACAGCTACGCAATGCAGTCTCTGCTTGTCCGCATGCGCTACCAGCAATCAAAAGCTTGAGTACAGTGCATAGCGGCGGCATACCGGCGAGTGTACGGACTGATCTGCCAACATGGATGAGAAGCCGTTACTGTGGTGGTACCACGCTCGGTGCAGCTGATTCGCAAGTGTTGCGTGGCTCTCCAACCAGCAGAGCGATGTGATGCCACAGCGGAGCAGACTTGGTGGCAACCGACTCACGGACATGCTCTGACACCTTGGGCGCATGCACGTTTTGGCGAGTGACAACACCCTGTCGATTGAAAAGTAATGACTTATTGGTAGGTCTGATCTCTCGGTCAATCCGCCTCGAGCAGAAGCACCCCCTCATCGGTTGAAAAGAGCCATGCTGGTCGGGAGTGTTTGTTCTGTTGGTAGCGACGTGCATGCAATTCGTGCATCTCATACATGTAGTCGTTAGTGAACCAGCAAATTGAAATTCCTACCAAAGGAGCCTCCGTTGCCAGGAAAATCGCTCTCCCTCTTGGTCCAGCTCGGGGCCTGTAGTGTAAAACTTGATTCATACTCAACTGCTTTGTTGTCTGTGCACTTCCCAGACTCGGGGAAAGGACTCAACCACGTGTATAAAAGCTAATGTCTTTTATGTAACATTGATCCTGAACATTTTATGGCTGGTGTACATGTATTCACACTAATTATATTTATCTTAACCACAGGGCTATTGTGATACTAACACAATCTGTTTAATGTCCCTTTAACAAGCTGCTTTTTCTCTGATCAAGCCGCCATCGCATTACCGTCTCCAGCACCTCATGGAGACCAGGAAGAAAGTGCTTTTTTTAGAATGAGCTGATCAAACCATCCCAAACCGTAGAAAGACTAGACAAAAATCATCTCATTGTACATAGTTCCATGCAGTTTGCTGAATACATCGATGTAAAGTAGAACTTCCAAAAAAACCCAGAAAAACTTGTAGAGGCTTGTTTACATCACTACGCGTCATGTGTTTGGCTCCCATTTCATTCATTTGAATATTGTGTGCAAGTCAGTGAACCAGCCTAGAGGCACTACATTTCAGATATCTTCAGTTGTCTCCAACTTGTTCAACTGCTAGTTCTAAAAAGTCCACCCAATTTTGTGTTTTAGCACCTCATGACAGGAAAGTTGCAGTCCTGTTGCATTGGTTGATTTGGGTATAAAGTAGGGTCATGAGTTGCAGTCTAAAGTTTGCTTTTCCTTCAGGAAACGGTTTGTAGAAACATGCAGTCAGATGCTGGGAACTTAGATTAATCATCCAAATAGAGAATTTCTTCCGCCTGTTCCGTCCGTCTTTTTTTTTTTAGTCCCAATGTTGTGGAATGATTCATGAACAGATTTTTTTTCGATGGATGAATATACATGTATGGTACATTTTGGTGGTGGCGGGCCATTCAAATTCATTCAGGTTTTTCCAAATGAAAAGATTCTCATTTCTAATTGATAAAAGTCGCTCATTGTCAGACCTTCCCATTTCGCTGTGGATCTCATTCATGGGTGGTTCATTGCTTTTGTAGTGAAAAGCATGTTCACCTAAACTTGTTGCCGTCATTGAACAGAATCTGGGCGTCAGATTCCCGGTCGATTACGACTGCACCCCCAGTGCTGTGCTGACAGAAAAAAGACTGGTGCTGTTTTGTTTTTTTTTTACAAGTTAACCGCCCACCAAAAAGGGAGACAATGTGACTAACTCTAATTTGCCTAATGACCTCACCTTCTCTCCCCCTTTTTTTGGGACTCCTGTCTTTCCTTTTCCATCCATCCAAACGCACTCTCTTCCTTTCCCCCTCTGCCTCTCCTCATACGACACACTTTAAAAGGGATTACGTCGGGTTAAACCGAACGATCTCAAGGTAAGGTCGGACGTGCCTGTTCGTCATGCCTCATCGATTCTCTCTCCTTTTTTTTTTTTTGCATCATGCGGGGCATCTTGTGCAATGCTTGTCCCTATTGCTTGCCGCTGTTCAGCGGCACTGCTCCCAGGCTGCTTGTTACCGTTTTATTGTTCGCTGAACTCTTTTTGCAGTGTCGTTTGTTTTTGTCATTACATCTTTCTTTTGGCAGGCTTTATGGAATCACGCTTTTGCATACAATGTCAATACAGTTTTGCATGTTTTGCAAGTGGCCACACCCACACCACACCTGCATGGCGTAGAAGCACCAAGTAATTGGTCCGTATCTTTAAGCAGGATTGGAATGGCACAATAAGACTGACGCTATACCGGCAACTTAACCCGGTGTGCTAGGTAGTAATGTTCCCAGGAACTGATTCCACAATGGTTCGATCTTACACATGTACAATGTATGTGCACATCTTCTGTTCTAGCCAGATTTAGTGTTACAGCGTGCAGAGCCAGGGGAAGGGCATTCGTGTGCACCCACAAGATGTGCTTTAGTACACTACCAAGTATTTTGTGGCCACACGCTTTGTGTATTGTATGCACTGGCATTCAAAATAGTGTGATGGTGCCGTCACTTGAGTATGGCCCGATATTCTAGCACCGTGTTCAGTGGTTTGTGGCAACTGTGGACACGATTGGTGTAATTTGGGAAAAGTAACGGGGATGGCAATGAAATCCCAATGAAGCAAACAAAAGGCACTTTAGAGTTTACAGTTGCTAGGTACATGTAAGAGTTTCTGTAAAACAAGATTTTCTTTAGGAGGGCTGATTCTGGTCATTGACAAAGTCAAAAAGGGAATTAAATACACATATCTGCACACGCAACCCTCACTGCGAATAGATGTTTCCCCAAATTTTGATTTGTTCATAATGCCTTAAATTCTGAACTCTACATGTAGATGCTACATGAAAATCCCCGCACTCCTGAGGACAGGCTGGGTACTGAAATTGTTCAACTGTCCTTTTGTCCTTGGTTTTCGCTTTTCCCCGATTAGAAACACCCCCCTCCCCAAAAATAAATCTTTGAAAAACTATTTGGGAACTGGTATTTCACACACCTTGCCATAGGTCAGGGGTCAGATAGCCTTTATCCTCAGTGCTTTCTGAATGCAGTTGTTAGTTGTTTTTGTCCCGTGTCTTACAAATGTAGTGTTTTGTGGTTTTGTGATGATAAGCTGCCATTCTGTAGTGTATGATTTGCTCAAGTGGGTTAAATTGCTGTTTGTTTTCAAGAATCCGTTCCTGATTTTCAGACTGAGTTTGGAGCCAATACTCACAGTAGCTGCTGTACAGAAAATGCTTCTCAGCAATCCAGCCGAGTCCCTGCGCCTGACACAATTTGGCTGGTGCAGTGTAAATTTAGGCCGATTTTGCACTGGCCGCGGAAGCGAGCACAAATTATGCGATTTTGTGGCATCAAACCAAATATTCGTGCCACGAATTCACAAAAGTGGAACGCATTTTCAACTCCAGCAAATTTTGCTGCAAATGTCTTTGCGACATCCAATTTGCTTCGCGTTTGCATGCCCTTGAATTATGAATCGGCCCTTTGAGTATTTTCTGTGCACAGCAGCCGAGTTGCACACCTGAGTTACGGCCACCTGCTGATCTGCCGAGGTTCTTAACTAAATACATGTATGAACATGTACAGGTAGTTAATTAACGTGTGTAGCTGGCCACATGGGCATGAGATACTGTTTGTATCTCTGGAGGGGGATAAATAACAGTTCTTTTGTCACCAAGCAAGCCAGAGTGAAACAAGGGAGGAAAAATATCCTCTTGTCAACCAATCTCTTTTACCCGTCTTGCCGCAAACCTTGGTGAGTCTTCCAAATCTACCACTTCACACAAATAAATGGCACGTTCAGTGCGCCTACACCATTGGGCTGCGAGCCCAAGCGTGAAGTACAGTAAAGGGCATTCACACAGCCAAGCAGGGACAGAACACGATAACAGAGGGCAGTATACCGATAATGGACAGTCAGTACTTCAACGCTTTGTCAGCCCATTTTAAGTTTGCGGCCAAGTCACTTTTCTCTCTTTTTAATTTTTCTTATGTTTAGACACCAACTCCACAGATGGCATTTAGTTGATTTCGAGCTTTTATTTCTTTTGTTTTGGAGCTAGTCGAAACAGGAATGCATGTTGAAATAAAAACCGCCACTTGCCAAACATCCGTCATGCTTTGGGTTGCTTGAAAGAAAAATTGGTTCATTTTTTGAAAGTTTGGAAACGAACACTTTGTGGCAGCAGCACAGAGCAAGTTTTGTCAAGAGCTGCAGGTGACACCGCAGCTGATGTGTGACCCACATTTATGTCATACCAGTGCGCAAATCTGCAAACAAACTCCATCAAGTGCTCTCCCTCAGAGCTTCCTAAGGACCCACAGATCTGAGAAATTCCTGGTTAGTCTCCCTAGCTTTGAATTGAGGAGGGATTGTTGATCCAGCACTAATCACAAATGCCAGACATGAAATAGCCATGCAAAGTTAGAGGTGAACTTCAGAGGGAAGCCTCTTCAAATGAGGGAACAATACCATATACACTTTTCAAAAGCCCGTCATGAAACCTTGACACTCCTGATTCCTGTTTTGTCTTTTGAATCTGTGCAGCTGTTGATTACCAGTGAGGCAACTGACTTGTAACTAATCAGTCCCATCATTGTGAACCGGTGTGCTAATGTCAACCCATGGTCACATAGTTCTTGATTAAAGTTGCTACTAATGGGTACTATATGGCCTGCCAAAGGTGTGACTGTGATGTCTTTATGAGTTGGGTTTATCCATACAGTAGATGAAATTTTTGTTATAGTTAATAGAGACAGCATTATAAAATTAGCAGGTGAAGCATGTTAAATGAAAGAACCATATGGTAGAGAACATTGTAGCCCCCAAGCTGACGAATGAATCCACATCCTATGTGTTCAGAGCATGCAGCTCATCCCAAGACGTGACAGAAATGGTCTGCACCAGTTGGCTATGTTGTCATCAGTAGTTCTCTTGAAGTTAAGCAGTACACTTGTAGAGCTGATTGGCTGTTAGCTGATTGGCTGTTAGCCGATTGGCTGTTAGCCAATTGACTGTTAGCCGATTGACTGTTAGCCGATTGGCTGTTAGCCGATTGGCTGTTAGCCAATTGGCTGTTAGCCGATTGGCTGTTAGCTGATTGGCTGTTAGCTGATTGGCTGTTAGCCGATTGGCTGTTCGCAGATTGATTGTTAGCTGATTGGCTGTTTCTAGCTGATTGGCTGTTAGCAGATTGACTGCTAGCTGTTTATAATAGCTTGTTCAGCTTTTTTTCTGACTTCTTAATTCTGAGAAGCCATTGTGCCCTTCCCTGTGCATTTAAGACCAGTTCATCCTTCCGGCAAATGTGAAAACAAAGAGAATTCAAATTCTGCACAATATTTCTTCCTTGAGTTTGTATGCGTTCAACTTTTGGCAGATTTAATCTGATCTCACAGTGCCACAGTCGTACTTACTTCCACACCAAATACAATTACTGCAGCCTTTATGGTGGACAGAGCTGGTGGCAAAGTACCTCACTTCTCAAACTCAAGGATTCAAAGCCAGTGGGGGGCTTTTTTTCAGGCATTCTTTCAAATGCCTCGCGCTTTGTGTACACGATACACATGTATGCGTGTAAAACAAACTGGAGCCCATTTTGGATCTGTGTGCTAAAATTGGCCCTAGGCATAATCTCAATGCGTGTGCTGTTTTCTGCCAAGGACAGGGTTGTTTCTTTGACATTCTGCATGGTTAGGAACTGGGTCATTACATGAGGTTGGGGGCACAATTTGTGACGGTGTCCTTTAATACATAAAAACAAACAGCTATTTCTCTGCATGTGAATTCCAAATAATACATCTTGCAAGGCTGAATACAGAGTTGTGTGTTAGTTTTACAAAGTGAATGACCTACTCTACAGGTCACGACAGGTGGTGAAAGTTACCCATGTAACAAGGACACCGTCACAAATTGTGCCCCAACCTCGTAGACTGACCCAACTGCGTTTGTTCCTAGACCATGATGTGACACATATTTTCACGCTTTGTAAATTAAGGAGAAATGCAAACTGCTCAGCTACCGTACCGTACCAGTTGTCTCATGTGTATACCAAATTTCCACAAAATCTGTCAACAGCTAGGATTTGAGGGAAGAAAGTTACGGAGAACAAAAATGGAAAAAAGAGGGCCTGTGGCAGGGTTAAACTTTTTTAAGATTAGAATTAGACTAGTTCTGGAGCTTGCTGAAGATCGTTGATTTGTAACATCTGAATGGCTACATGTATTGTGTGCTGTGTGTGTCGATGCTCTTCGTGTCCTGAATGTTTTGTTTTGTCGTGGAATGTTTGAAAAAAAATCGACTTGCACTGCTCGTTACTGTGAAGTTGAATTTGGTACTGCACTACAGCACGCCGTGGATTATGTACATATGTAGCCGGGTGGTCCTGTGTGTTTCAGCAGACGCATTCGTTTAGTTGTACGGGTATGTTGTGTGGGAAGAACTTAGGCCAATGTTCAGATCAATCTGGTGTGTGCATTGTTAGGGAGAAATAGTTCTCAGTTAAAAGAGTGTAGGCATTTCTGTTGGTAGATCACAGTAGACTCATTATTGGTGTAAGCTAGGCCGACATCTTCTGAAAAACGTGTGCATATTTAACTTAATGCATTTTGCTTGACTTTTTAAGGGTAATGCAGTTCGTTTACTGTGCTGGATTGGAAGTATGACACATTGTCATGAATCCACCTTAGAAAGAGTCAGTGCATTTGTCGACTCATTCTGCTTGCCATTACTTTCCCTGACCCATTTGCCCTTTATTAATACCCCGATGCTCTTCTATACCTCCCCCCCCGCCACCACCACCACTTCCCTAGGCCTGATGCCAAGAGGCGTCGCAAACGCGAAGCTCCCGAGGACTCGCCTGCGGGTACTCCCCCTTCCGCTTTCACCACCCTGTCGCCGGGCAGCTTTCGGGTCGGGAACAGTACCAGCCCTAGTCCGGTCCCGGGCCTGGGGACTTCGCCAGCCCCCACCCCACTGGTCTTCATGGAGCAGTTTGTGACCAACACCACCTTTGTGCTGGAAGGACTGGATCACTTCACCGAGTACATGGTTGAGGTCCAGGCCTGTAACAAGGTGACGTGCGGCCTGAAGATGGCCACCTTCGGGAGAACGCTGCCAAAGCGTGAGTGGGTTTGTTTCTGTTTTTGCCCGAGACAGTCCGTGCAAATCTGTCACAAGTCATCCAGTCTTAAGCCAGATCTCCAGCTTTTCAAATGGACTGTGACAAAAGCATTTCCGTTGTCGTTGTTCACCCTGTTACTTGACTGGTCTTTGATATGAAACCAATTTTTGAAGGGAGACTTGTGATGGATGATTTGACAGTTGCACTGACGATGATACGGTGTATATTTCAGTTGTTGTCTCAAAGCATGGGCTGCAACCAATACTTACGGTATAACACATATACGATATTAAGAGGGTAAAAAATAGTGGCAACTTTGCACTCTGCTCAAGGGGAGACCTATAACCAAATTTGTGTGGAGAAATTCCAACCAATTTTTTTGTGTAACATTTTACAGCTTTTTTAGGGTTTAGGCCACATTTTGGAGATGTTTTATGTCCTTTTTAAAGGAAATTAAGTAGTGAAAATAGCATTGTCTTTCTTTCATTAAATTTCAAAATTAATGCCCTTTTTTGGGGGGGGGGTTATGGCCACCCTGAATCCACCAAGGATTCTGCCCGAACAGGTTTTGGTATACTCAAGTAATGACAGTCCATTACTACCAGAGAAACACTGCTTTTGATGTGACTGATCCCATTAAAATTTTGCTGTGCTTGTAATGACTTTGAAAATCCATGAGGTGTTTTCCAGTGGGAAGGAGCTGTGGCTAAATAAAAACTTATTCAACCTAAAAGGGATTTATTGTCAGGTGCACACAATGGACAGATATGTGAAATTTTGTTTAAGATGTACCCTCTTTTGTTGTAGTTGCAAGATTGATTTCATACTGTCACCGGATGTGATTACACATTTTAAGTGACTTTACTGACGCAAGCTTTTGATGTCAGTGTCATGTGCTGATCAATCTGGTTTCACCACTGTAGGTGACGCTGATGCTGTGCCGCCCTCCCTGACGGCCAATGTCACCTCCAAAGACCCCCAAAACAGGCGGGTCAAGCTTAGCTGGGAGGAGCCCCCCTCCCCCAACGGCATCATCATTTTGCACGAGATCGTCTACAACAAGATCGAGGCCCAGGACAGAGAGGCTCCCCCGTCAGGTTCCGGTGACCAAACCGGCAGCGAGAAGAACAGGGAAGACGTGGTGGGCAAGGAAGCAACTCCAACCCCAGAGGTGGGCAAAACCAGCGTTGTTGTCATGGATATATCCTCAAAAGCCCACAATGTGTCCTTAGAAGTCCATCATAAGTCCTCGGACCAGTTGCAAGTTCACAGAGGTCTATCAGAAGCCCTCAGAGACATACATCTCCTCAGAGAAGCACCATAAGTCTTCTCTAACGAGTCCTTTGTTCTGCATCCCTCCAGAAGTCACTCAGGCTGTATGCCATAAATCTTGGCTTTGGCCAGATACACGTAAGAACGTGTTCCTGTGGATGGCATTGGCTTGGGTCTGCATTCAGGGCCCTCTTACAGTACATATTGCCAGTGCTGCCAAGCCTTTTAATTACACAGGCTAAGTTAGGAGTCAAGGCACAAGCTCTTCAGGTGACCAGCGGCAGAGGCATCTCATTTGTCATCGTTTTTTTTCCTCTGCTCCACACACTTGTGTCATAAGGCTAGAGGGCTTCGGCCCCTCTAAACCTGGGCCGTTTTCCAATACTCAACTTCGGCTCCGTCTCAGGCTTCCACTGTTTTTTTTATTACCTGACTTTGAAGCTGTAAGCGCACTAATTAGTCTAATAGTTCTCTACATACATTCCCTGTACCGGTACTTTGGCCAAACAGTTAATCAGTCTTTTTCATTCGCTCTTCAAAAGCAAAGTTTGAAAAAAATCACTCTTATAGTACACTCTTTTTTGGGGGGAGGACGTTGCTTTGGCTCCTCCCTTTTTTTTTGTCTACCTTCTGTTGATAATTGCCATTTTTGTCCCCCTTCCCAGAATAAGCCGAAAGGCGTAGAGATCTGTGTGTCAGCGGCCAGATTCCGCCAGCAGGGCGGGTACGAGTTTGCCGGGCTGGAGCCCGGCAACTACTCGGCTCGAGTGCGGGTCTTCTCGTTGGCTGGAGAGGGAGTTTGGACGGACCCATTAATGTTCACTGTGCCTGAGCCAGTTCGTGGTATATATAGGGTTGACCCTGTTGTCTCTGTTGACCTGTAGAAAGAAGGATAATTTTATGATTTAGATTTTATGCATTTAGATAAAACCAAAGATAGAGAGGGCTGTAAGGGTTAAGATATAAATTTCTCAGTTTTATAATCGGAAACCTTGATACATGTATAAATTGACAAAACCTTCGAAAAGTTGCAATTGCTTGTAATTTCCTTTTGCTTACAGAATTGTTTTCCTGTGTGCATAGTACACAGTTGCGTGGTTTACAGTTGAGGACTCTGCTTTTGCACACTTAAAAAAAGTGAAGACAAACATATTTTACTTATGCTGTAAACTGCTCACAACAGCCTTACATTTTGATTGCGGTTTTCTGGAATGCTTCTCTTCATTTTGTGACAGAATAACCCCAACTGGAAATATCCTCGAAAATTGTTTTGCACTGTAAGAGAAACCTTGGTTGGACTGGGGCAAGTCCTTACAATGTTTGTGTTACCAATGCTCTAAGGATTTCCTTTCAGGTCCTCAGAAGGAACGACAGTGCCTTTTCTTTATATTTGGTTGAGGCTGCTTCACATCTGCCCCAGCATTTGGATAATCTTGCTGCATCTGATCTCATTTCAGTGCCCACAGCGGTCCCGAATTCAGGCCTTGGGGCCATGGGGATCACCATCGGCTCCTGTGTGACTGTTGTCATCATTCTCGTCGTCGCAATCTGGTGTCTCATCAGGTGGAGGTACGGGAATTTTTCTGACACCTTGTGCGAACCAGTGTTGTATTCAAGTCCATCACAAG